TTTTATTAAAAACAAATGCAATTAATAACGATGCATACTAAAGATGGTCGGAACGTTGACGTCCAAAAATAAAATTTAGGTCGCTCGTATCGTAGAGTATCCAAATCACCCCCATGTATGTTACGCGACTTTTCATAGTTTATGTGTTATGAATTTTTTTGTGAATGTTTGAGAATTTTCGACAAAAAAAAAATAGAAGACTTTGTCAACATTTGTTTTATGCAATTGAAACTTCATAAGTATAACTTTTATGAATAAAATAATCGTAACTAATCGATAACTTCGTAACAGTGATGAAAGTTATAAAAATGTTGGTCTTAAGTGAAAATTTTACGTTCGGTCAATTATGACTTTTTTCAACTTTAAATAAAAAAATTTAAACAGGTCACTTCACGGTTGGTAAGTAGAAGAATGCGGCACTCTCAGCTTTTACAGTCATTAAAAAAAAAGTAGTACTCAATGGGGCTACTTTGGCTAAAATCGGTCTTCAAAGACAGCGAGGTGTAAAATTCTTAAAATTAGCCATCTGATTAAATATATATATTTTTGGTCATTTTATCGTTCCTAAGGTTAATCAAAAATCCCCTCTTGGGCTCCTCTACTATAACAACTATCGGTGAGAATATTTTACCGGAGCCGCTCCGTACCTGGCACGCGGCGTTGCCGAACCATACAAAGATATTCTTCGGGCTAAATTTGTTTGTTTGAATAGATAATAGATGTCGTTGATTCGCAAATAGTCAAACTGTTTTATTTTATGAATGTGCAAACTAACATATGGTATATATTTTAAAATTTATCTTGCATTCGAACACTTTTTAACCGTAATAAGCAATTAATAATAAAAAGTAAAAGCGCCATCTGTGTATATACACCTACAAACCAATCATCTGATTGCTGATATTTAAAAAATCATTAAAATTCCGTAAATTTGATTTACAGGCACATTATTTCATTTCCCTTTACTTAGAATATTTTTAAAACAATAATACACCTTTCTGGCATCATTCTTTTTATCTTTTGTTAATTTAACATATCTATAATAGATAATTATATTAACAAATTTTTAGATGGAGATCTAATCGATAGATGGCGTGTATCTATTTGTTATTAATGCTTTTTGTAAAATCAATAGAAGAAATAAAACAGCTAAACTGTAGTTTAGTTATAAAAAATACTTTAGATAATTTAATAAAATAATGCTGTCTTAAATCTTTCCGTTAATTACAGATTGTAAAATCAGCGATTAGGCAATGAATTTGTACCATCTATTCATAGATGGCTGTACGCATTTTACCAAAGTTAACTAAGCCGAATCTGTACATTAAATATTCTTGGGAAAATCTTTTTGGAATAGACATTACCAGTGGAGGGATTTTGATGAAATTTGGTATGATGATAGCTGGTTATCCGGGTCGACATACAGGATACGTTTTTCTGCGGGAAAATTATGTACCCCCTATATTAAAAACTCGCTCCATTTTTTAAAATAAAATCATTAAATTCCAATAAATAAACTAACACAAGGTAAAGAAAGGTAAGGAATAAAAATCAAAAATCATTGCTATCGTTTATTGATTTAAAATACAAAACTTAGTGACATAAAGCTCTATCCTTTTATTGTTACAGTGCCTGCGAACTGACAATTCGATAGGAAATAAACATTTAGGTAGCTCCTCTTGCACCACTCATGTCACATTACAAATAAATATATTATAATACATACTCAAGCGCGAACACCTAGGGCCATGTCGAGTAATGGATCAGTTAGAACTATCAAATAGGTTGGTGTTCTGTCCTTTTGCTGCACACATTTAACCCGACTTTCCTTATCTTATTCAAATACGTTGAACTTGATTAGATATAGTGTTTTTGTCCGTCTGTACGTACTTATAAAGTATGAAAATTGATTAATTAATAATAAATGACGCCATCTTGAGACAATTTTCGAGGCCCTCTTGAAAAAAATCTATTTTGATTCAACTTATTTGAAATAGAGAACTATTACAGTATGAATTGAATGTTACATTTAGAATGGTCAATAACAAGCAGTAAAACCATATGTGTTTGTTTCGTTTCTTTTATCACATATTCGCACACTAGAGCCTAGGTTGGGTCATATTTTAATACATATATCAAATAAATATGCAAAACGTCTGTTTAACATCAGTTTAGACTTGAGCTTTTGATTGATTTGATTTTTATTAAAAAGTAAGACTTTTTGGGAATGGCCAACCTCGGCTTGTACTCAGGTTCCAACATTACATTCATGATTGCATAAACATTTGTTCCACTGGGTTCAGTGCGTAAATAAGAAGAAACTGACACATCAAATAAAACTATCTTTTTGGATTTATTTTGATTTTTGGTTCCCGACGTTTCCAAAACTTTACAGCAATCGTGGTCACGGGAGAGAACATAATTGCTGTAAAGCATTCGAAACATTGGGAATCAAAAATCAAAATAAATCCGCAAAAATCCGAAAACATAGTTTTATTTAAAAAGTTCAATAAATTCACGTAAATCTAAGAAAGTATTGCGCTTACACATCAGACAAAAGTACTAAATTTACAACACAGTACAAGATTCCTACATTATAGATTTTACTGCTCATTCGACCGACAACCGTCGAGCAAATGCGTGCAACTGTTCTGTCACTTTATCTCAGGCTCGATTATGTAATGTATGGCAGGTTCCCGACAGAATATTCCAAACTGACTCGCTTTGATATCGTCCAAGCCTTTTGTAGCATAGCAATAGCAAGACACATGATTTCATTTGTTGAATATAAAGAGTCAGTCAGTGGAACAAAACAGAGCACATTTTATATTTGTTTTGACATGTAAATACTTAAATAAAATAAACATTCCCATAATATTTTGTAAGTTACATTTTCAATTATGAAGAACATGTTACATCGTTTATACAATTACAAAAGGGTCGATAAAAAAAAATCAATTTCGGAAACCTACCGGCATGTAATTTGTTACCTCCCTATAATCAAACAAAAGTGTATCCCATACCTATTTCTTATATTCCTAACAATCCTATAACCTCATGAAGCAAAAAAGTATTAATACAGTAAATATTATACAGATATTCGAAAAATTTATATTTCAGACCAGAGAGATTAGAAATAGATTCAAATCTACAATGAAATAAAACATTCGGAAAACAGTCGCAGCGCTTACAGAGCTAACAAATAAAGACAGAATACTTTCATGCTTCATGTACGAAAATAATTGTACCATACAAACATCGTATTTTAAAATAATTTTTGGGGGGATGGGGGGTGGGTGGGAGTTATTTTTTTTTTATAAAAAATCACGGCAACATTCTGCAGCACAAAAAAATCTGCTTTCAGTTGCAATGTCGTCATTAGCCGGTTCGACCTGGAGCAGTCAGTCGGCTCACGAACTATACACAATTGAAAAAAATATAATTTGCTAAATCACATCCCTCCAGAGCGAAGCGGCTAGCTGAGGCCGGCCGCAGACGCGCCGCCGCGCCGGACTGCCGCGACCGTCATATGCACACTCACTCTAGCGTTGTATAAAAAGCTACTTCCCTCGGACCCGAGGCGGTCTCGTAAATAATGCAAAGATATTTATTGCTATACAAGCAAACTGTACAAGCTCTTTGCTTTATTCATAGATTATACACACTAGGGCGACGCGTAGCCGCGAGGGAGCGCTGGCGGGACGCCTGCGGCCGGCCTCGTATAAATCCGGCACAATAAGGCAGTGTTCAGTGTACGCTATACAAAATATCTCCGTTACAAAGTTACGACCAGTCTGTTGCGATGAGGTTAGTCTATTGTAGATTCAAATCCAAAAAGGTTTAAGTCAGTTTAATTCATTAACTCCTATCTGAAATACCCAAAAAAATTTATATATGATCAACATTCCCGTAACCTACAAGTACATTTTGTGTTTTTTATAGAATTACCTATACACTATTCTTCGTTTTTACATATCGTCTGAATATTCCAATGGGTCAAAAATAACCTATGTATTAAAACAGTACACGTGTATCATTTACAGAATCTCAAATCTCATGCATTCGAGATCGGAAATTAAATTACAATATACAACAACTCTGAAATGCGAGGGCAAAGTTTTAACGATTTCAACGTCGCGCATCGGGAGTATCGAATCGAATCAATTTGTGCAGTCAAAAAATACTTTTTTTTAAATTATTTTAATCTATTTTTTATTCGGTCGTATTAACGAAATTCTGTTTGGCCCTTTGATTTTCAGTCATCAGTTGCCGACACTTTAAAAATATAAAGCTTGCGATAACTAACCGAACGAAAGCTTAACTAGCATAGACGTATCTAAAGTATATTATCCAGTTTAAGTTGCAGTCTGTATCCATTATTAGTCGGTTCTAAAAATTTATGTACAATATTTATTTTCTACCATATTGCGTCGTTGATATGCATTGCGTAACAATAAAAAAACCTAGCTTTTATGCCCTTGATGCGTCCGGATGTGGGGTTCCCCGCGGAACTCTAAGTACGATCGAGTGAAGCGGTTACCAAATAATACAATACATGTTACAACGTAACAACTCGTCAACACAATGTCTCTTTACAGTCAGACTTATCGCATTAAATAAAAATATAGAATTATAAATATGGATTCAGTCCAAGAGCGTTGCCACATACTAGAGTACCCAGTCGCACTGCCGCCGTCACGTCACTGGTCACGTCACGCGTCACGTCACTGACCATCGCATTCGCATCCCGCATCATAATACTAGAGCGATCGTCTTGGAGCAAACAATTATACTAAGCCGGTCCGCGCACTACACGCACCTCCTCGCACTCACTGTCGTCCTGGTACCTCGAGCACTGTCACGCCGTCACACCGCACTCTACACAGCCGCTATACAGTCCGGCAATGTCATAGAGCGGAGCACGTGACACTGTCCGCCGGGCGGGTCTACGCGTCCGCCGTGCCCGCCGCGTCCGCCGTGTCGCGCGGGTGACGGCGCTAGTGTATGGCGACGGGACTGTGCTGTAGTTGGCAGACGGGCAGCATGTCGTCGTCGCGACGGACCCCCTCCACTTCCATACGCTCAGTACCGCCCCACAGCCGTGCACCGCCCACTGTTAAAACATCATTCTTCATTAATATTAATAATAAGAACGACGACCAAAACCGAAATTATTTCATAAAATAACCTTTTAATATACTCGTATTATAAAAATATATTAGTTATCAAATTATCTAAAGTTTTAACATTATGTTTATTTCTTAGATAAGTAAATAATTTCGGTTTTGGGTTTTCTTTATATACATGGAAAAAATCTAATAGTTATCTAGAGGGGGTCTAACTAATTGGTAAATTATGAAGAGGACCTAATCAAGAGACTACTAACCGCCTAAATTACAATATACAAAAATTCATACATATTTGTCGCATAAAATAAAAATAGTTTTTCATCTTGACAAAGTAATATAGTAAGTAATACAAATAATAACATAAATAGATTATTATCGATATCTGCAATATTTTTTTTACAATTTAGTATAAGATGCAATCACTTTTGTTTGAAGTGAAATAATATATTAAATAGCTTTGTATATAAAATATTTTAAGTCATTACCCTGTTTAAGAACGACCTTTACGAGTAACAAAGATGTTATAAGTAGGTATAATTATAAAAAAATATATTTTTTAAATAAACACATATAAAAATCATCTTTAATACAACATTTATATATGTTTTATATAATAAATGCAGATATCGAATTCACACCGACAAGCCATGCACTAAGATACGATGGATGAAGACATGCCAAAAGAAATATAATAATATGGGATCCATGTATAAAGGGGTCATTTGTAGCGATAGTGATCATGTTGAAATTATTATTTTGGATTCATTAAAAAAGACACAGTAATGTTAAGTTTCATTGCAGCAATTCAATTCTCTGAGGACTTCAAAGGGGTCTATTTAGCTAATTTGCAAGTACTTGTGTCAAAAAGAAAGGCCAAGAATATATTTACAAAAAAAAATCAATTTTGTATATTATATGAGCATCATTAAGAAAATAAAAGAAAATCACCAATTAACGTAACTGCCAAAACCTCACATTACCATGTCCACACAACGATATAAATAGGGATGCATCCGATACCCATATATCGGCGATATTAGTTTGCCGATACACCGATACATTTTCAATAATTTAAAGTTAGATAAATTGTGTTTTCTGATTAAAAATCTTATAAAATTGAATTTTTAATATTAATTTCTAGTCAGACCCTTAATTACCATTTTCAAAAAATAACTAACGTTCTGTTAAATTACAATTAATCAAAACATAATTGATATTTTGTTAAGTTCTAAATAAATATTACTCATCTAAGTACTGCTGTTGCTGAGTTTTCTATCCTAAACCTACATTTTTTTACTTTTCATACATTTTGAAGCCTACAGTGTCCGCAACGGTATAGGTATCGGCGATACTTTTTTATAAATATCGGTATCGGTATCGTAACGGCAGAAGTGCGTATCGATGCATCCCTAGTCATATAAACAAAAGCTCAATATATAACTGAATAATCAAATAAACTGTCTGAACAAAAAGTGATAAAATTTCAACATGAGCCCCAACATATGCGGTGAGCAGACCTGGCGTACAACGTTAGCGGCGGCTAGTGACGCGCCGTGCCGCCGGGCCGCTCTAGTCATCGCGACTCCGGCGCATCTGCCGCGGACATTACTGCATTATTATATTATACAATATACTGCAGTCTGCACGTACGTACTACGTACCGACGGACGTGCGAGGCGAAATCATTTAACATTATACACAAAAAAATAATTTCCACACCGGCAAGAGTGTCTGTTTCTATCTCTTTAAAATTTTCTCTACTGGTAAGTCTTAAACTAATTATTCGATTTTCATTACGATAGAATATTTAATTTTATTACATAAAATATACATATAATAAGAATTAATGATAAGTTCTTGATAGTATAACATGTTTACTGAGCGAACGATTACGATTATACATACGCAGAGCAACTCTAATGTGTTTTTGTTAAAAATATTTACTTAAATGGGGATCGAACTCATAATGTATATATAAAACAATGTCAAAGAGTCCAAAAATCCTAAAAATATTAAATATTCCTTACTAAATAAGATTTTTTTTAAAGTAACTTAGTAAATAGCAAAGTAATCTACTCGTACAATTGCCCATACTTAATTAATTGTATTGTATATTTAATTAGAAAATTGATATTTTCTAGTTCTTCATAGTAAAATGATTTCGTCCACACTCGTCGCATCACAGTACGACGCAATTAACCACGACTCCTCTTCAATAGTTAATGAACTTAACAACACAGAAACACGGATTAATATAATTAAACAATTAACAAACGTTTTAAATATATAATTAATCTACATAACTCAGAAAACACCCGATTAGTCGAAATGAAATGAAAAGCTTCATGTGTTAGCAAAACACGACAAAAGCTCGAAAATGATGTGTTAGACCTAAATCTACACAATATCAACAATTATAATATAAAACCGACTGCTATGGAAAATAATATACGCTTCTATTAAATAGTAGGTATTTTTAAAAACCAAGAAAATGTAACGAATATGCACACGTTAATGTGTTTACATCATTTTTAAATTTAAATTAAAAAAGAAATAATATTTTCTTGGCAAAAGCGTATATTACTTACCATACAATATTCAATGACCAATGACACCAATTAACAATATTAAAACGAGGATTGCAATATTTTAAATTTTAATCACTTAATTAATAAAATAGTTAATTTGATACTAATTAATCATTTTTGCATTCTCTTATAAATACACATATATAAAACTTCACTATAATTTCTTATATTTTAGACTTGTTTTAGTACGTTAGAAGCTTTTGCAAATCTGTTTACACTCAGTAATTAAAGAAATATAAACGATAAATTTATATTATCATAATTACAACCAAGAACTATATACATTTTACTCTTCAGGTCGATTCATACATTTCGTATAACAAAAAAAATGCAGATACCAACCCAGCCACCATTTTACAAGAAATTCTTAGCATTGCATTTGGATGTTTAAAAGAGCTGTTGGATTTATTTTCAAATAGTATCATACGAGTATACTTACATCAAATATGGATGGAAAAATAAATCGTAAATTACGACGCATATAGTATATGAGACCTTAGATATAAGCAGTGTGCGTTTGTAAGCATGTAGGTATATGATATAGTATTTATGTGTCATCATCATACTGTTTGTATTTGTCATAGAACATATCTGTTCCGGTATGTTATGACAATAACTGTACAAAACCTTTAACTATGATCAATTACATAACTACTTTTTATTATTATTACATGCGAACAATATTACATATTAATAGATTATTGCAAAATCTGTCAAAAATCATTAATTGTAATTAATTATAATCCACAAGTAAGTCGGTACATTGTTTGTGTCTATATTTATGTTTGTGTATGCCTTTACGTGTATGTACATATATTTATGACCCTGTGCCTATTTTGCTGAGTGGCTTGGATGCAAGTCCTAGATTCGAATCCCGGGCATAATAGTAAAGATTATAGTGTCGAAAAATTCTCAGTAGCAGCAATTCGTTAAGCTGGCAAAGTTACAAGTACACTACTACACCCTCGTGTCAAAGTAGAGAAAACAAAGACATCGCTTCTATGCATTATCTGTTTCCGCATCTGTGGCTTAGGTAACGAAATTAATTCTCGAGCATTTTATAATTGTTTGTGTAAATATTTTTAACGACCGATTTATCCTCGCTTTGTTCGGGTCTTTAGGTGGCTAAAAGTAACCTAAATATTAATGCAGGTCACAGTCTGTGTACTAAGCTTCATCAAAATCCATCCAGATACTGAAGCGTGAAGGACTAACACACATGGTTTGCGTACTAAAGCGAAGTGATTGTAAATTGTTAGTTTTTAATATTATCGATGTTGTACGTGTGTACGTGTGTAAATATAGTTAGTTGCTGGTATATTTACATTTCTGTTCATGTTCATCATACTAATGAATTCCCCCAGCGGGACTCGAACATGCGACCGCTGGCACAGCAAGTAGGGTCATTACAAACTGAGCCAAACGTGTAGTCAAATATATTTATACAGATAAATAAAATTGGAGTGTCTGCTTGTAATGTGAAAATTACAGCGTTTTACTAAGTGCATATGAAATAATATACGGTACTTATAAGATAAACTCAATTTTTTAATTTTTGTCTGTCTGTTTGTTCCGGATAATCTCTGAAATGGCTGGACTGATTTTGACGGGACTTTGACTGGAAGATAGCTGATGTTATAAGGAGTAACATAGGCTACTTTTATTTTATAAAAAGAATTAGGGTTCCACTCAAAAAAATCAAAACGTATCTAGGGATGAACCCGAGCGAAGCGAGGGTAAGTCTCTAGTCTTCAATATGTATGTATGTACGTATGTGTCTATCTGTGAGTGTATATATACATACCGTGCTGGTGGTGCGCCTGCTGCGCCTGCTGCGTGTTGGTCGCCTCGTCGGCGGTGCGCTTGAAGAAGTTGTGCTGCAGCGCGTAGTACGGCGTCACGCGCTGCTTCGGCTCGTACTCGAGCATGCGCAGGATTAGGTCCTGGAAATTCATATTCGTATTAATAATAAGAAAGCAGTAATCTTAAACACATGCCGATTAGTACGAAAGTTATTGTCAAAACCCTAGTTACCCCTTTAAATATCCCCATCCCTTACTTAACACTTGTCGTAGGCCCGAGTACAGTAAAATTACCTTCGTAATTAAAGAGATTATAAGTTTAAAAAAATAATAAACTTTATTCATAAATAAGGAAACTGAACATAGAACATAGTAATTTTACAGTAAAGGCTTGTACAATTCAATTTCAAATAGTTGGGTGAAGTACTCCTTGCTAGGTTATAAATATAATCTGTATTAAGGCGTTTTAGGTATTTTAAATTTCGTTTTGCTGAAATTTTATTGGCAATTAGCTGTTTAATTTTTTTTATTATACATGAATATAAACGCAGGATACGTTCGATTTGATCCTGGAATTTAAGTTTAGAATGATAAATGAATAAATTTAAAAACAATTATTAAAAACATTGAACTTGAACCTACATATATTAAAGCTATTTTTAATTCCAAAGTATTGCTTCAACAACATATAAAACTGAACGAGATCACTTCTCTTTAAAAATCCTTACAAAGCATACGGATTTTCTAAGTTGAGTAAATTTCTTAAAAATTTTGCCAGACCACCCATTAGGTCATAATAAAAACGAGTAGTTTAATTAAGGTAATTAAAAAAAAGAAAACAAACACTCGTCGCCATTTCCCGACTGTCGTACTTACTTTTGTATGATAGTCGGGAAACGACTTCAGGATTGACGACAACTTTTGATATTTTTGACAACCCTTGTATTCGACAGCATTTCCGTTAAGATCAAACGCAATCGTCTACTATTGTCTTCTCCATGCTACGCGACAAGAAGTAATCTATCTGTGCTCAACTGGCAATGTGCTCAAGTGTCGAAGCCATTAACAATAAAATTGAATTGATCGTCTACTGTGTAGGTTTTTGAAGGCAGTGGTAGCCCAGTGGTAATACGGTCGCTTGGGAAACCGAGTGAAGCGGGTTTAATCCCGGGTCTCGCACCTCTGACATTTTAATTTCATCATGATTATTATCACTTGTCTTAACGGTGACGGAAAACATCGTGAGGAAACCTGCATGCCTGAGAGAACCTAGCAAGTTTTCAAAAGACATGTGAAGTCTGCCAACCCGCACTTGGCCATCGAGGTGGACTATGACCTGATCCCCCTCATACTGAAGGGAGGCCCGTTCCCAGCAGTGAGACGTTATAAAGGGGTGAATACGTATAGGTTTTTATATTGTGACATATCATACACACCTTAAACTTAAGATAATCAGAGACCGAGTGTCCCGGCTCGCCGCGCCGCCGCGCCGCGGGCCCGCCGCCCTCCACGCCGAGTATGTCGTGCAGGCGCCGCGTGCCCGCCGGACGGTATTTCCTGTAACCGCTGCAACAAACAACATCATATAAATTTACAAAATATTTATATTATAAACAAACCTATCCCACGGGAACCGTACATTTTTCCGGGATAAAAAGTAGCCTATGTGTTATTCCAGACTATAATCTATCTATATGCCAAATTTCATTCAGATCCGTTCAGCCGTTATGGCGTGAAAGAGTAACAAACATCCATACATACTCACAAACTTTCACATTCATAATATTAATAAAATACGGATATTAATACGGACTAGCGACTTACTCTCGCTTCGCGATCGTAGAAATGAATGATTTAGAATGTCTAGAGGACAAAAATAAAATTAAGCCCGAGATCACGATGCTTTAAATAGTGCCGAAATACCGGGAACTCATATAAGTAAAAAAAACATGGTATATATACCGTTTTACAGCACAAAAATGTACTAGATTTATGACCCGGACTAATACGTATGATACCGTTAGGTATCATACGTATTAGTCCGGGTCATAAATCTATTTGTGTGCTAACTTCATCCAGATCCTCCCACCTGTTTCAGCGTGAAGGAATAACAAATACAAACAAACATACACACACGTACATATACAAATTTTCGCAATTATAATATTACTCTGATGACATACAGTGATTTGCAATAAAGTTAATAGTGTAAAAAATGTAGATGAGAAAAATCACGTCTTCCTGACCGATTTCGGTCACAACGGCCTATCTCAATTAGAACAATCATCTTTATCCATGGAAGATATTATAGTAAAGGCGTGTGAATGTGGTGTGTATACACTACATGCACTCTCGATTACTTTCACTCTAAAAGCCTGAAACCACCTGATCTTTATAATACAAAAAAAAAGGTCAGGCGCAGACTCTGGCTCAGCATAAAGTGTGTAATATAGCAATCTTCTCAACTTCCCCCTGCTATGAAGCCAATAATATAAAAAGATATTTTGTATAACAATATGTAAAAGATATTCATTTTGGTAAGATTATTAAAACATCTTCTAGCCTTCTGATATTAAGGTAAAAACCTTAATATCAGAATCATTTGTATTAATCCTAATAGCATATAGTCTAAAAAGAGCCTCATAAAATTTAAATTTTTTCACTACACAATAATTTAAAATATATATTTTTTGTTTACCCATCTTTCCCGGCGACTTTCTTTAGAACATAACCACCGCCTTCGGACGCTGGTAATTTGTCAAAGAACTTCCGAGTTTTGTGTGCCTGAAAACAAAAACAATACATTAGTTATAGCAAATATGCGATACTTTTGGTTGATAGCATTTAATTTTTTAAACTTTTTACTTTTACCGACTTTTAAGTATTAGTAAAGTTGATCATTGATTAAGAACTTCGAGCGTAAACACTTCGAATTTAATAAATGTTTATAATACATAGTTTTAAAACTAAAAGTTTACACCCGCGGCCCAATTCGCGTAGTAGTTGGTACTGAATGTGTCCGTATTTTAGTGTGCATCCAGATTTATTACCGATAAAACTTCCGTATATGTCCAGTTTCTATCATATATTATTATTGACTCATAACTCTCTTCTCCATTCTACGTGACAGTAGCGAAGTAATGTATGCTAACTGGCACGCTTTAAAACCATTAACAAGAGAATTGAATTGATTCTCATCATAAAACTCATGCACTCATTCTTGCAATACAAACAGTTCACAGAAGTAGATTCTTGCTAACAAAAAGTATATTGACTAGAGAAATATTTGCAGTACTTATGAGAAATCTCAAGCATTTGAAAAGTTGCCTTATTTCCAATTAACAATGTAAGTGGGTCGGAGTGTCGCTATGTCGCTACACAATTAAGCAGCAGCAACTACATATTGTTCAAAGTTAGACAATTATCGCAAGTTAAGAGCCATTATATCTTCATCCAAGCTCCTTCGCGAGCTGTAATTATTGTTGCCGTTGCATATGTTTTAGTGATTTCTGTACACATGATAATTGACTTTCTACATTTATTAAACGACTAAATTACTCAAACAGTACCCAACATTTCCCTTAGTTTTTTTAAAGTTTGAATTTACTACATAAACAGCGAATCATATAACTTTATATATCAAAATCAATACGGAAACATACTGATTTAAATGACTAGATAAAATAATTGTAAAAATTGTTATTTCTCCATGAATCCAAACATTTCAAATATACATACGCTTTTTAGATTTGGCGTCTTATCCGCACTTGTCTCGGAGGCGTTCTAAACTGCCTTTAGTATTTATAACATTATATACAGGCAGAGTCGCCTTTTAGCAATTTTTTTTACAAACAGTAGCATAACTCACACTATGTATAACTATTGGTCAGGTCGTTTCAGCGAGGAGTACAAAACATACAATCTCTCACATATATAATACAAGTCCTAATTAACATATGCCACCATACAATACCTGGTCTAACAAATGATCCGGAGGCATTCCCAAAACCTCGACAATCTTGTTCATTTGATCTAACTCATTAGCGCCGCTGAACAGGGGCTCCCCTGTGTGCATCTCCACCAGTATACATCCTAACGACCACATATCTATTGCCAGGTCGTAGGGAATGCCTAGCAAAACTTCCGGCGATCTGTAGAACCTTGATTGTATGTATTGGTATATCTGAAAAAAAAATAAAAAAATTGCCATTAATTACCGCTAATATTCATTTTGGCAACAGCTTTCATTTTTTGACACTTTGTTGGTTTTATAAATCGCTATCGTTAAAAAATATGTAATCGTCTTGATATTGAAGTTTAAAGGCATAATATTTTCAAATAACATTTTAAATAAAACTAACTTTTCGGATTAATTTTACGGATTTACTTTGGTTTTTGGTTTCCGATATTTGGAATGCTTTACAGTAATTATGGTTACTGTAAAAACTGAGGTTTTGATTTCTGTGAAGCTTAAAACTATGAGATATTGTGCAGTGCACTGTCTTTGTGTATCTGAGTTAGTGACACAGCATAGGGTCATGTATGTAAATGTATATAAAATAAATACTTCCTTCTTAGACATATCAATACAATTATGTTTTTTAATGATTCATTATACCTATACGATGTATCTGTGGTTTTTCCAGATTGATAATTGAATTCCGTTAAAATGAAGCGTAAACAGAGTATTTGGAAATAAGGAAAACGTCAGTTGCGGTCTCTATTAAAGTTTAATAATTAATGTCGCTTTATCGATATATAAGTTATGTTTAATAATAAACTAAATTATTAATAATGCTGTTTACGAGTAAAGGGCCCAAGTCCAACGTGTTTTCCTCAGTACACGCGGCAACAACACTTAATATACAGTTTATTACGCACAGTCTCAGATAACCTTTGGTCCATTGAAGGACCTCGAAATGATTTATTTCTACAATTAGCTCAAGTGTTGAATAAGACAATGATTTTGAGAAATGCTTCCACAAATATCATTTAAAATACCAAATTTATCAATGATTTTTACACGTAATATTCGCTTCTTAGAAATATTTTACTATATCGTAGTCATCTAATACGTAACACACGTCACAGATTTAGGATACGCTTTGCAATTTCCATTCACATAAGATAACGAATGAAAAGTAGACATTATTGTATTTGGCATTTCACGCACTTTAACTGTTTAAATTTTGATAACCTTTGATATTAAATTTAAATTAAACCAGACCGAACCGATTGTATATCTTCATTATAATTATCGTGTGCATGTTGCCATATAAACAATGATTAAGATGATGTCATTCACTTAGTAACCAAAATTACTAACATTATTTAAGAGAAAATATAACATTACTTAAAATATCTATTTTTATTAAATTGTTCATGTTTTTGAAGTTTAATAGAGATAATATGTTTGGTAAATCTAAGAAATATCTCAAGATGTGAAAAGTTAGATTATTTATATTATCGCATATGCAAATCTCACAATGGATACTAAGTAGAATTAATAAACGTGTCGGGGCAGTAAATGCCGTCAATAGCGAAATACGAGCTGATAACGACACAAAGTATCACGTTATGAAATAATCACAATTATTATGTCATAATTCCAATTATATTATTTCAAGCATTCTTTATTCTATGTAGGTAAATTATCTTTAGAATGTCATTTTACTTACAAGTGATAAAACATATAGTTTTTAATTATTTTAAAGTTCTAAATTACAATGTAATGTAACACTAAGCCCCCTTCCTGACTTGGCGGTGCAATATCTGTATGGGTACGCCAAGTCAGGAAGGGGCATAAAATTACAAATAAATAATAACATACCCTTTGACCTAGTTGACACGAACTGCCAAAGTCCACAATCTTTATGGCTGACCTCTTCGGATTGCATAGTAGTATATTCTCAGGCTTAAGATCACAGTGAATTATATTTAGTTCTGAAAGATAAAACAAAATCATATAACTAACAATGATACATTTCTTCTATGCGTTTGCGCATCGTTTATATGATTAAATTAAACGTTTAAGCTTTGCTTGTTACTTGGAGGAAAGTTTCTTGTACCATGATGGTAGATGCGGCGTCGCGCGAGGCGTGATACGTTAGTTGAGACCTTATAATTTCGTTATATACAAGTGTAACTAGTGCGTTATTTTTATATTTAGATGTATCCTATACTAGCGGCTCACCCTCGCTTCACTCGGCTTCGTCCCTAGGTACGATTTAAATAGATATAAATAGTTATCATCCAGCGTTTACTATATAAATGTTTTTTTTTCGTAAATTTTTCGATGTTTTAATACTTATTATCCTATTCCGGACTAAGAGAAATCCAAAAAAATCAAATATCATAGAAATCGGTCCAGCCGCCGTTCTTGAGTTATAAATGTGTAACTAACACGACTTTGTTTTATATGTATATATAGATCTACCTAGATAGGGCCTTACATTGAGAGGGAAATTTGCTTGTTATTTATAAAATTGTAATTAGGTATTTAATGTAGTAAACGTAAAATAAACGACTATACACTAATTAACTAAATTTTAAAAATTACAGTAAAATCAGATTTTATGCTTAGTCTTAGCTAAGTTGGCAGAAATCTGTCTTAAGTTTAAAATACATAATACGACATTTTTACAAGAACAATTATTGATTAAAGAAGAAACCATTGAGGCAAAGGCCTTCACACTTAAAAATAATACTCTTTTCTTGATTAAAATGATAATAATTATTTCTGCTCCGCTTTAGATTAGCTGAAGAGTAATAGATGACATAGAGTAATACTCTAAGGCTCAAGATATTTTATAATCCAAATTTACAAAGTCCAACTTTAAGCAATACAAGTTATAAAGGTTAATGACGAATATCGAAACTGGTGTCGAAAATTATTTGAACATGACTAACCATAAGGAAACATATCAACCCACGCAGACGACGTTGGTTTTTACCAGTGATAGTATGATGAAAAAAATCCATAATCTACCTTTTTATCGTATTACAAAGTAGCAAATAGAATAGAATGCAAAATTCAAAAGGTAAGCGACAACGGAACCAATAAAAACGACTCGGCGCCGTAAACGTATTAGGTGCAAATCGTAAACATCGACGCTCATTCCATGTGTACAAATGGTGTCATTGATTGTTTTTCGAAATTATAGAGCAATTTTTATTTATGATGGGATATTTGTTCAATGCGAAACAATTTCATACAGCCATTTCATACAAAGTTAATTCATTTTTAATAACTTTCTGTCTGTTGTTTTATGAAACCTGCATTAGACTTTGTAGAATGTATGTATACATACATAATATATGATCTCATAATTGATATCATAACTAAGAAACTACATAGTATTAGAAGATAATCGGATATATTTTAAAACAATTTTTTAAAATAATTTCTTAGATTTACGCAAATATTTCACATTTTAAATAAATCTATCTTTTCGGATTATTTCGCGGATTTATTTTGATTTTTGGTTCTCGACGTTTCGAATGCTTCAAGGCACCTTTGAGACATCTAAAACTTTAGTCTCTCCCGTGACCATGGTTGCTGTAAAGCATTCGAAACGTCGGGAAGCAAAAATCAAATTATATCCGCGAAAGAATCCGAAAAGACAGTTTAATTTCAAAACTTTTTAGAAATTACAGTCTTTAGACCAACTTGGTAGTTTTAGATGAATCGTTTAGCTTCTTAACGTAAAAGAAATAACTGGTCTACACGTAATCCAATATACAATATAAAAATGTTATCCCAAAGTATTACTAGTGCAAACACGTAGTTGTCGTGACACATTGTGGAAGAGCGCACACCAAGAAGTTCTATTGAGGAAAAAATTAAGGTAAAGGAAACATCTTTGGACTTAAAATTTAGTTATACAACTGTATAAATATATATCCCCTTGAAAAGATTTAGGACACCCAGTGAAATTAACTATCTAACAAAAACTATACAACAAGGAGAATAAAGCATAGTCGTGGAAGATTGATTTATTATTTTGGAAGAGCACGAGAATTATTAGATAGCTTAAAAGTGCAGGTTTTATACAATTTTCAAATCCGTTCAAAGTTGCACGCTATATTACGCAACAAACATCAAAAATGGACCACACTATTAGGTACATTACTATGCGATACGATTACATTAGGCATACTACGAATGCGAAAGCTTATGAATTGTAAGTCTCTAAATATTTGTGTGTTTCTTCCTCACGCTGTAAGTTTACTTTAGGTTCAAAGATTTGAGAAAAAATCGTAATAACATACCTTATCCTGTAACAAGATACAAAAGCTACTTTTTACTCGTTACATGAAATATGCCGATAGATATGTAAATGCAAACCCGATCTAAATATGCGACCTACCCTGGTTTCTTTGTATCGCTACGTACCTAACTGTAGCTCATGTGTTACACCAGGTCATAGTTTATGTACTAAATTTTATACAAAACCCTTCCAGCTGTTGCAACGTGAAGGAGACACACCCACACGCAAGCATTCACATATATTTAGTTACCGATTAGTGAGCTTTGACTTACCAGGTTGACTAAGGAACAGTAACGCGGTGCACAGCTGCTGGGCGAACTTGCGTGTAAGGTTTAATGACACACCGCGGAAGTTCGTGTTACGCAGCAAATCGTACAGATTGTACGACAATAACTCGAACACTAGGCACAGGTGGTTCCGCCACATAAAGTGACGCTTCAGTTTTACTGGAATATATAAGATATGTCATTTTAATTCAACTGTCTGAAGTACAAAACAAAATTTATCTACAAAGTTATATTAGCGAGATACAAATGTACTCTACATACTCATTTAAAGTATAAGATTATAAAGCTCGTTCAATATAATACATGTCTAAAAACAAAGATAGAAAAAATTTAAGAAGAACTAGTAGCAAAAACGTTAGATTATAAATTTCCAAAATCAAATTAATATATTAAGAGCTATAGAAACTAAATCTTATTTTAAACTTTATATGAAGTAAGTTCATTAATGTTTAAGTTCGTTTAACCTTACTCATACAATACAATATATTAAGTTTTGGCGAAATCAGTTTTAACAAGTAATTCTACTACATCGTATTTCAAGCGTAGCAAATTACGAATCCTAATCTTTGTATCTAATAGCGAATATATCCAAGTTGTATATATATTAAAACATTACGGTATTCAGACCGTTACTTTCATCATAATTCAGCAATGTAATTTATACTAATGAATGAATATCGTATGGGAATATGTATATTTGGTTAATGCTTGCTCTCACCTATATAATACTTATTTTCTGCATCCGCTCTGTTCATCATTTCTAGTAACTTGACTTCTATTTGTGCCTGGTTTAGGAAGGGTTTCTTATTCTTAATTATTTTTATCGCTACTTGACATTGCTCCTCGTGGTCGTACGCTTTCACAACCTGAAATTAATCAATATTGCATTAACTTTAGAAGGCTATCGAGTCTTTTGCATTATTAAGAATTGACCGTAGCTTTTGTTACTATCCAATATTCTACAATTGAAAACAATAAAAAACGTTAAGATTAAACGTATTTCTAGTTAATTTACATTTTCTATGCTTTTCAATACCATACTATGAGAAAAAGATAGTAAATGTAACATATTGTTAATACAAATTACCTGTCCAAAAGAGCCTTTGCCGATCGGTGAGGAGATCTCATATCGGTCGAGAAACTTTTCTCCGTGTTTGATGATGTAGTCGTGGTTGTCGTCATCGTAGCCGTCGTTGTATAGTTTCCGTTCCTTCTTGTGTGAACCATCGTCCCCTAGGTACTGCTGCGCTCTCCGCTTCTTCTTTGCGTAGTATACCTGTATACGAAAAAAATATTTATTTATCTCTTTATATTGCTTTAAAGATTTTTATACGTCTTCATAACTTATACACGTGCTAGTAAGTAATTGTTGCTTTCCGAAGATAAACAATGTTATAATCTTTATGTTAATCCCATTCTAAATAGTGTAATTTGTTCTATAACTAAACGTTAATGAAAAAAAGGATTTAACAGACTAGAAGAAAATTGAAAATATGTCTCTTTCAACATGTTTCAAGTACACGTTCCGCCGATACAATGCTAATCCCTAGGCAAGTAGGCGAGGCTAGACCGCTCTGTTTTGACATCATGCATAATATATGTAGATGTCGGATTAGACGGTAATAAAAACTTCTAAGGCGAAAAACTCACAAAAGTAGCAAAATATTATGTAAGTGATAAAGTCAAACAGGTATCTACGCAATTAAGTCCTGTCTCACTCCACTTAGCCTTAATATATTGGAAAATATACGAATAATATCTCTTTATAAAAAAAGGTACATTGACTTTCAAATTGTTTTAGTAGTTTTCTGTAATTGTGTAATTGATTTACCATTATGGGTGGACTTTTTTAACATTTATACAAAACCACCGTTATCGTATAACTCTAATTATTTAAATCTGAATCTCGCAAATCGGACATAATAAACAACGAAGATAACGCATAGACACAGTAATTGAGTATTTCTTGCTTTTTAATGTCAGTCAAACATTTGAGACATGTTCATTGTACACATATAACTTGTTAAATATTATACACAATTAAATTTACCTATGGTTACATAAAACCTCTATTGTGAAAATATTTTTTTACATAAATCTTGAAAGTCAATAAATAAATATGATTACCGTGTTTTTACCGACAGTAGATTTATTGTTTCCCAGATTTTATACACAAGTTTTTATACCAAGTATACAAAATAATTATAATCATCATTCACGACGGATGGTAATTTGACAACAGCTTTACAAACGTCAAAATTTGAGTCGCTTTGCTATTAAACCTTTTTACTCTTATTTTTCTATCATGAGTCCTTTTAATAACAACATCGCCAGTTTCTAAACAAACTTTTACTATTCAATAAAAGAGAATAAAAATTCTGCAGTGACGGGGAGCTACGTATACACACACAATCCACGATAAAAAGTGTCCGCATGCATTATAGGAAATGAAGAGGCGAGGAGCGCGGGAATTTGGCCGGACGTTGACCCAAATATGCGGTTGACATTGATCGACGATGTTCGATACGCTTATATAAAACATTCATACAACGCTCAACACGGATTCGGGACTAGGCAGTTCAATGCTACCGGTTTTTTATGCGGCACCGACGCGTCTAGCCGAAAAGATTATGACTCATTGTGTTCTCACTGCTGCGTGTAATTATTCAAATGAATGTCTCCGTTGATGATGATTAAAGAAACTATATGAGCTGGGAGTGTGAGGGACATATGACGCCCGAGTATCGAGAGAATGGAATATATTTAAGTATGTACTGTGTGTATCGTTTTAACGTGACAGATGCATCGGACTGCGTCACATGACCTACAATACCTAGCTTGGCCACCGTTACGTAAGCCACATAGACCGTAATAATAATATTGGAATCTGCATACCATTCGCAGCGTGGCGGAAGTGTCGCATATCGACGCGGCCAAACGATAACCCAAATTTCTGACTGCGACCTACATACCTAACACAGGGTTTATTTTACAGTCGACCGAGCGCCCTCACAATCGGTGAGGCTCTCGTTACGTGCTACCCTCATAGCTTATTGAGCGATGGCAAGATAAATCGTCTATGCGACATGTGAAATTGTATTTCCTCAGTTACAATGTTTGATCGAAGGATGAGCTGTTAGGTTTGGGAGGTAGGTAAGGTCAGTAGTGTGCGGTCAGGGTTGCATGTGGGTATCTTCAATCAAGGATCGGCATAAGAGGTTGCGGCAGTAGCGCCGGTGGCGGTGGCGAGCAGGCCAGTGACCGCGGCACGTGGCGAGATGAACGCGTCGGGCCGGGGTGAGACGGCGCGCGGCGGCTGTCATTGATTTTCCCCGTGTCCCCCCTCTCCCGAGGCTGGCTCCCCCGCCGCGTCTCACCCACTTCCAGCGCCCGATAACGAGGTTAACGGGCGACGTGAGCGTCTCCTAAACTTTAATTATACCCGTACACCCGTCGTGCATGTTTAACCCGGCCTCTTCTCAACGTTTTGTTTGCAGCGCACCTGATAGCGGGATGTGATCCACTATTCGGTCGACGGTTAACTATCTAATGAACGGAGTCGGAGATGGAAACCTGAAGAGAGCAACTTAGAAAGCGCGTCGGCGGCATGAGTTATCGCCGCGGACCGAGTTCAATTCAAATCTGCTAACTACGTCTCGACGTAAGCGTGCGACTACGTAAACTTCATGAATTTATTATAAACATTCGCTATTGAGCTCGAACACTATACCTTGTAACTTTGACGGATACAAAATTAATAAACTTAGCCTGAAGGTCTTAACGAGTTTTTCATGGTTTAGTTAATATTTTGTAATTTTATTTAATAATTTTAATTTAAGGCAGTGATAGCCCAGTGGTAACGCGCTCCCTTAAAAAACCGAGTAAAGTGGGTTCAAATCTCAGTCTCGCATCTCTGATATTTTCATGAGCGAATAATTTCCAATATAATTACCACTTGTCATACAGCGTGGTGGACTACGGCCTGATCCCCTTTGTATTGGACGAAAGCCCGTACTCAGAAGTGGGACGTTAAAAAGGGCATACAGTTTTTAATTCAATTAAATCATCAATAACTACGGAGTCGTAGATAATTAACTAACACCAATATATGTCTTAGCTCCAAAAATATAGATAATAAGGAATTATCGTAGGTATATTTGGCATTGATACGAAATTGGTTACATCCATCAATGTACCTATTATTTTCTATTTAAAAGCTACGTAAGGTGATTTATTGTTAATAAATCACTTTTACTGATATCCCACAGCGCGTTTGTGCGTAAGCCAAATTCATAATTATAAAGATCCGTTGCTTCACTCCAAGAATTTCGCTAACTTCCTCTATTGATATAAAAATATGTTGGGACATTAACACACTAAACCATCTAGTTCCATGGTAAACTACGAGGCCTGTGTTATGGGTACCAGATAATTGATACACTAAACATACTCGTATATAACTTTAAATACATACATATTATAAATATAAACACCCATGACTGGAGTACAAGCATTCGTGCTCATGACACAATAAGTGCCACCAGCGGGACTCGAACCCTGCGACCGTTGGCACAGCAAGTAGGGTCACTACAAACTGAGCCAAAGGTGTCGTCGCAAAAACATATCACTGTAGGTACATAGTAAGATTAGATATTATTTATTACTGCGCATATACATAGTCGTATATCTACCCTATGATCACATCCTACAAACCACAAATATACAATTCCACTATAGCTCTTTTGTTTTTCTGTTAACATGCTCACGTATGTATCTTACCGTATTTTATGCTATGAGTCAAAATTGATTATTCCTTTTTTTTCTTAATGGGGCTAATTTTATTTTTATTATTTCTATAATAATAAATGAGTTACATAAATACACACTTTATTTGTATCCTAAAGCCACGTTACGGCCACACGCATGTCAATTAAATATTGTATTCCGTTGCATCATCACACGAGAAGCTGGCATCCTTCATGTGGGCATAGCAATTTCCTACAATGGCCTACACACGGCTAGAAGCGCCTAAGGGGTTCATTTATAAAGTTGTAATATATGTACATTAAATAAACTATATGCGATACTTGCAGTCTGAAATTTAGATCCTCAAATACAAGTTATTAATAGGATAAAAAAGATCATAAAAAAAATAAAAAATACTGTTGCATGAATGTGCGAATCGTTGAAGTGAGTGTTTGAGAATATAAAATATGTATAATGTATATCCATTATCCCTACAACACTTTCATAGTAAGTCAGCAATCATTATCACTCTCCAACTACCAGAGAACCAAAAATCTAAATAAATGCGCAAAAAATCCAAATATATATGTAGTTTTGTGTAAATGAAATGATGTTTTACGAAAAAGAAAAACAAATCTATCACACGAAAACCGTACTTTCTTCCGGGATAAAAAGTAGCCTATGTTTTATTCTGATGTATGAGCTATATTATTGTAAAGTTTCATTAAAATCTATTCAGTAGTATTTGCGTGAAAGGGTAACAAACATCCATACATCAATACATCCCATACGTCCTCACAAACTTTCGCATTTATAATATTAGTTGGATGTCAAATATTCGCATAAATCTAAGAGAGTAGTTGCCAGATTATAATTTTCTTAATGAATATATTTTACCTCATGATTGAAAAATCAACCCTAAGATGATTATTTATAACAAACTACTACTGAAAACAGCATCGCACGCGTGCGCAATATCTATTATAGTGCAAAGTCAGTAATGATTCTAATAATAAATTGTTATCCGTCCATTTTTTTTTCAAATACTACGCATCATATTATTGTTTTTGTTATGACGCAAAATAATCCTTAGGAAAAATAATTGAAAAATAAATAATAACTATAATATATTATTTAGATAACTAATTATGAAAGTAGACATATTTCTTATTCTCATATTTTAAAACAATATTTCATATCAAGTATCTAACTAAAACGTACCTACTTATTTATCAACCGACTTCAAAAAGTAGGAGGTTTCTCAATTTGGCAGTGTTTTTTAAGTACCTTTTTGTATGTATTTATGTATTTATTTTATTAGTTTGTACAAGAGCTTTACAGGTGAAAAATATGATGTAATATATTTTTTATTGAAAAGCAAATAAATTATTATGGTAAAATCTTAAATCATGTAATTTTATACGGATAATAATGTAAGGGCAGACCTAAATGTTCAAGATGTACAGGGTTACAGAAATGTCCAAGTTTAGATACATTTAGTGCATTCCAGTAATGTAAAGCAATGTGTTCTTCCGTTGCCGGTTATTCAATTACGAGAGGCCGTCAATGAAACGAGCACTATTGCACATCCAAATTATTTTCGTCCGTTCACTTCCGGTCTCATCATTTAGCACATATAAGCGTTAATTTGATATGAATAACTTTTGATGCTGTATTTTGATGTTTGTATAGCTTTATTTAAAGGTCAGTCAGATCAGCCTATTTTGTCCATTCCTAATATAAATACAATTATACGTCAAAATTATTTAATTTTCAATAATTTCACACCGATACCTGTTCAACTGCTACAAAAAATTTAGAAATATATATTCTCATTTTCCATACAAGATATAGAAATTAATGCATTCACCCATATAAATGTGAAAGTGTGTTTGTTTGTTTGTTTGTCTGTCCTTCTTTCACGTCAAAACAGAGTGACGGATTGAAGGGGTTTTTTTTCTCTGGAGATAATTGGAGGGCTGGAGAGTGACATAGGCTACTTTTAACCGCGGGAGATTGTCTTATTCCCACGGAAAAACACATTATATTACAATCAAAAAAATTATTTATGATCAGAATTACTTGAAAATTGTGTACTATTAATGCTCTTCAATATAATTTAATAAATACGTGTTTTAACATTTCTCGAAATTCATCCCATAAGGGGGTAAAATAGGGCTATAAGTTTGTGTGAAGCTTTTTTCTGTAGTTTTAGCGCGAGCGAAGCCGCGGGTTCTGCTAGTACTTTATAAATTATAATAAAAAGGTATCGTACATTTGTTTCTTTTAATATTGGACATACTTCTATTTTTAGTGAGTACCTATATTATTTTGTTTTTATTGACATAGCAGTTTTAATAAAAAAAGACTGGTCAGCGTGATTTTAATGTGTATCGTATATATTTCCAGACTTCATTACATAAAAAATATTCAAATCACGCTTTAAAAAGCTGTTATAATATACAGTGATTTGATATTGACGTAGCTGTTCTAATTAAAAAAAAAACAATACTGTTCGGCGTGTTTTTCACGTGTATCGTGTATATTTCCTGACTTCATTACATAAATAATATAATTAATCAAATTACGCTCAAAAAAGCTGTTATAATATACAGTGATTTGTTATTGAAGTAGCCGTTTTAATTTAAAAAAAAACAAGACTGTTCGGCGTGATTTTCACGTGTATCGTATATATTTCCAGACTTCATTACACAAATAATTATTATAATTAGTCAAATCACGCTCAAAAAAGCTGTTTTAATATAAAGTGATTTGTTATTAACGCAGCAGTTTTAATTTAAAAAAAAAACAAGACTGGTTGGCGTGATTTTCACGTGTATCGTATATATTTCGAGACTTCATTACATAAATCATATAATTAATCAAATCACGCTTAAAAAAGTTGTTATAAATTATACTAATTAATATACAGTAATTTATTTACACTATTATCCAATGATAGCAAGAGCACTCGTATGAAAATCAAATTAAGCACACATGATACTTGAATATCAAAACACATGTAGACTACTAAATCTAGAGAACGAGCTTTCCCGAGAGATAAGTTGTTATGTCAATCAATCATAATGAATGTTATGTAAACTATATGTCAGATACGTCTGAAAATAAACATATAAATAAATAAAACAAATGTTCTTGTCCCACATAACGCTGGCCATATTTGGAGTGCGCAACGTCAGCGTGACATCATCTTACTGCACATGACGCAACGATTGTTTCATTGCGAATTCGATGAATTGGTTAACATTTTAAACCTATTACTATATTATTACCTGTAAAATTTTATTAACTAAATTATACTAATTTAAGTATAATAAACAACGCAGTAAAGTATAAGTACAAAATTTTCTAATAAATATTGACTATCATTGTAATTTATTAAAGTTGAAACAGAGCGGTCAATAATGCATTTGAAATAATTGTACATTTCAATATTCATAGTACGTAAAAGATGATATAGCGTAGCAAAGCTTATAATCCAGTTGCAGTCTACGAAAGTCCGTTTCATCAAAATATAGATGAATCAGTTTCGAAACAACGAGTCTCGCACAGGAATCCCCAAAAAGCTAATACGAGTGAGCGCTAATTAATTTTTCATAGTCCTGTCGTCGCATAGCGAACGGGCGTCGTCGCTACAGACGCGGAGGCTACGAGATCACGTCGTAGCTCGTAGCATCAATTAGAGCGGCGGAACTGCGCAAGTTTACATCATTAACACCATAAAAAGACAGTTATTGCGAGAAAATTTGCGCAATCAATTAGGAGTTCTAAGAGGGGTCGGGGGTGGATGCGTGCAGAGTGCAGCGGCGACGGCGGCGTCGGGCGGGAGCGCGGGGTGCGGGCGGGGGTGCGGCGCGCGCATCTGTGTGCATTCGGCATATTTACCCCGATAGTGGGCGGGCGAGTTCACTGACCCGACCCAATGCAAGGCCTGCGTACGTAGGCCGCGACGCACACGCCGTTTCATTAGTGCCACCGCACCGCACACCCATGCAAAAAGCTAACACTGTGCGTCAAGTGGGCACGCACGCTTTTTTAATCATCTGCCGGATACCTACAGCTTAGATTAGCTCGCGGCAGAATTCCATTTCTGATTTGCGAGAGAACCAAGCGTCGTACAGATAGTAGCGCGACTTTGGACCGCCGGCCATATCGATCTCGCGTTTATTTCCAACTCCGCTATGCTCTAGGTACGTGATTTAAAATTTATAACAAACTAAAATTGTTGTTTGATCGTTTATTGAGCACATGATTCCGCGAGCATTCACTCTGCTGCCTTTTCTAATATTGCGTCCCTACAGGTAGCCTTTGGGAGGTTGCTAGCGTTGAAATATGCACGAAACGTATTCAAACAAAAGTACAGTCTTCAGCACGCCTATCGAGGGTGAATGCATGGCCATGTTATTACATATCAAGACATATATGGCAAATGCACATGGGAGTCATAATTATGCCACAGCATTCATAAATCCAGTGATTAAGTCAGACACATTCACGGCGGTAAGTATAAACTGAGGTATACTTATGCAAAGCCACCCTTGCAGTGGGCGAATGGTCGGATGCAATGCCATAACCTACCCCAAGCTTTCCCCTCGTTGAGGCAGGTCAGGGCAGACGCTTTTGAAGGGCATTTACATAATAACCAGGCGTATAGTATTTACAAAATGATATCCATTAATGGCATGTATCGATGATACACTATGATATTTACAATATGCAAGTATCTTCACAGCCAAACAAGTAAACCAACAAGTCATATATCCTAAATACAAAATCTCGATTTTGTAATCATGAAGGTAACGTTAAGTATTTATTGTCAACTTGATGTTGGCAATAAATAGCATATACGACCTGCGTTTCTTTATAGAACAGACTACATAAAATTAAACTTATTTCATTTTCATCCCATATAAACATTATAACTGCGAAAGTTTGGATGGATGGACGTTTGTTCTCAATCACGCCAGAACGGCTGAACGGATCTGGATGAATTTTGGCACAGAGATATATTATAGTCTGGAATAGCACACAGGTTACTTTTTATCCCCGAAAAATGTACGGTTCTCGTGGGATATCCATATTGACCGTTAAAACGTACCCAGGGACGAACCCGAGCAAAGCGAGGATGAGTTGCTAGTATTAAATATTAATAATATTTCGGCGACACAAAGAAACTGAACGTAACCTTGAATAAAATTACAACACTATTCAGAGAATTCATTTTTTTAAATTATATAATATTTATTTTATTCGTTTCTTAATTTACTTATTTAAGAGGGAATCTTTACAGAACGGTAGAAATGCTCAAAGATCAGTTTTGATTGAATCTGGAGCACAATACATGAAAATCTTTTGAGTAGGTACCTACGACAAAATAATAGCGCGGTCTCAAAATATCGTCCGGGACGAAACTTAATCCGATTTGTTGCAATATAAACTGATCTAGAGAAAATAATACATTTTATACCTTATCAAAATAATAAGCATATTTGATAAATAATAATTATAACAAATGCTTTATATTAACTGGATGATAATATTATAATGGCAATAAGTTCACATAAAATATGGATACTCGTAAATCACCGATCGCCTAAACGCTTATAAATAATGAGGCAAACCATATAATATATTATATGAATATCGATAATACAAGTAAAAACTAAATATTTCAACATATATTAATCTAATGCGTTTACATAACTGGATGAGTCGTATTTTCTGCATTCTATTCAGCATGATTTAAAAAATAAAAATATTTAGGTTTTATAGATTTAGTACACCGCTGCCATTTTAATTTCTTTTTTAAAATATTAACGATAAATCATATATTTAACATGAAGTTTTTTTTACTATTGTTCAAATTTTCAGCAATCATTTGGTGTAACTTCATGAAAATAACCTCGCAGACATACCATCAACGAAATCGATATCAATTAAGCTGATTAAAAAGAATCCTCTTTTGATATAGTATGGTCACATGTACACGTACAAGTATCTATCTACATTCCAAAGATAGGCTTAACATGCATGTATTATGTAGAAGATCGTAACCGGCTTGCATATCTGTCAATAGGTGATAAAAAGCAATGCATTATATCCATTAATTCCAACCTACCACAACGTAGCCAAAGTTGACGATAAGAGTCAGACAATTGTGTAACATTTATATTATTAAAAAAAACTTTTTTGGAATAGAGCTTTTATTAGAATAGACAAAACTAATTTATCGTCTAAAAGGTTTTTTTACAAGTGCATTATCAATATACGATAAGTCTATAGTAAACCTATCGTTTGCAAACATAGTTTTCGTAAAATAATTAAATTAATATTAAGTTCTGAGATCTGTAAAAATTATTGTATTTTTATCGTACTAGATATAAAGATATTTATGTCACTATATAATATGGATTATAAATCATATAATAAATATTTATTCAATACTTTTCTTATGAACTTCTGTTACAAAATTGATTTGTGATACATTGAAGATTACTGTTTAACCTTGCGTTTTTCCATTCCTGCGTAAAATACATAAAATGGATTACTAAAGGTATTTTACATACAGCGTTTTGTAAGCTTGTTATTAAGAGTAAAATCAAAAAAAATATATGTTAGATGATTTGGAAAGGGTTAACGACCTGGAATGGTTTGTGAGCAATGTGTCTGCAATTCAAGGGTTGCTAAAAGTAATTGAAGCTAGCTGTACATACTTAAATTATTATCGCTTTATGAAGTACCTACAAGTAAAATCAAGACAACACAGGAATTTTAATTAGTTATTACATAAGGGCTCGTGTCATGAGCGTAAGCGGGCGATGCCGACGACACAGGTACTTCAGACAGCAACTAAGGGCCCACAATTTCTTTTTTTCACGTTATGTTGCAATGAGAATACTTAAAGAAACCAATAATTAAAATCAACGAATACGTATCGCATGCTTGATCGAACCTTTGCCATTCGGCATCGGTCGAACGTCGTACGTTAATAGCTCTAGAGCGGCCATTAAAAATCATACGCGTTCAAAAAGCCCGCCCTCGCCGTGCGCTGCCACTTCAAAGTTTGACCTCGCAATTACTAAAATTGGTTTGATTTACCATTTTAATTGTAACAAAAAGCTTATTTTTTCCACCGGCGTGGACGAGGGCATCACGACGAGTCATTGCAATCTCGACCGAGTGACTTTCGGTCGGAGGGTCCATTAGGGTTCGGAAAGGCGAGGCGACGCGTAGGTCGCGGGTTGGAATTTTGAGCTGTGGCGTCATGTCGTTAAGGCGTAGTTTCTGTCGGAGGTGTCCGTAGGCGCGAGAGGAGAGCACTCGAGGTCGGATGCTGAGAGCGGGGGTGTGGAGGCGGCGCGGGAGGGGGATGGGACAAAATCGATATCGTCGGGCGGCGCGCGACGTCTTGCACCCTCCCCGCACCCCTCTAATGAATGAGAGCGAACATAGTCATCTCTGCGGATGGCGGCTCCAGCGATACGGCATGCCGCCGCCGCCTAGACTACGCTCCGCGCCCGATTCCATATATTGTTTTGCGATACGATAACGAACCGAACGTCCAATTAATCAAACCGTGCAACCCTGCTACAGTTTTCAATATATTCTCAGATCGCTATTGCCAAAAACATTATATTATTTTTTGTAAATTTAACATACATATTTATTAAAAATTAAAATACCTCTATTAATTTTAATTAAACACTTCTAATTTTTAATGTATCAACACCTATTTTGTATGACTTATGAATTGACTTATGGAAAACTTTAATTTACAAATCATCCCATCTGCTTTCATTTTTACACATCTATGAACAAAATTCATGCACATTACGCGATTTATGCCACTAGCTGTTATCCCAAAGCCGTGAACAGTTTTATTTCCAACAAGGTCTTAGCCTCCAAGCCACTTGCATAAGCCGAAAGTAACGTTATGGGTAGAAAACTTGTTGGTTTGTAAAATAACTCGAATGAGCCACAAAACATAACATGTCTTTAAAAACAATATTTTCACTTGTAGGTACTAAAAAAAGTTAACTTTCATGTATCATAACGTATTATACATATATGGTAACGTTAAATGTACACACACAATAGACAAATAATTGTATAACCATAAATACTTAGGATTGATGACGGCGATCACAATAGACCAGAAATGGTCGAAGTGACACGAAATTTTTATACTCTAAAAAGAATATGTAAATAGATATGTAGAATAATTTATGGAATTAGTTAAATTAATTACACGAAGAATTTGAAGGGGAATCGATAAAAGTATAGGTAAAAAATAGACTTAGTTTATATATGTAGCAACTATTACGCTCAGCGAGAAAATGGAACGCGAGATGTTTCTCCGTGAGATTCATCGAAACGAAGTGTTTCGTCAAAGATATAAAGTTATCGAGATCGCGCGCAGAATTAGCACGCTAAAGCCGAAGTGAGGCGGTCAAGTTTCAATCTGGCTACTTCGCCATCAGTATATCTACAAACCCTATCTCGCTAGGCTAGTGGCTAGAACGTAAGGCTGCAGATCCAGGGGTCTTAAGTTCGAGTCCCTGATTGGGTTATGTTATTAAGTCTTACTGTTCAAAAAAAAGTCTCAGTAACAGCCATTACTTGAAACAGCAGTGGACGGAGAGTTGAAATCAAAGTATGCGCATTGACATCATTATTCCATTTCATTAGCAGAATTATTGACCGAATCTAATAATAATAGGATCGTTATTATGTTAATGATAGGTTATATATTATTTTATATTTTTTTGTTAGAATTATTTTGTTATGTTCAAAACTTGGTAATAACGGTAATAATAACAAATAATCAAAAAAGCCAACGAGACCAGCTACATCTTTTACTAGCGTAGACTGGCCAATGCGATGCCTCATCTTTACATCATTAATACATCTGAAGGTAAATATGGCGACGGCATTGTGCTGTCACTAGGGTTAGTGCAGTTATTTTAAATAACCTTGGCTATGTTATGTGGAATGTAAATGAAAGATGTAAATGTTTTATTAAAAGAAAATAAAGCTTCTGTAATTTAGCTTTAGTCGAAACTCTGTAATAAAAAAATACTTCGTTGAATTGATTTTCTTAACATTTTCAAAAAGCAAATAATAGTAGTGCGTCATTTGTTAAAAAGTTCCGTTAAGTGAAAGAAAACAAGTTAATTACATTAAAGAATAAAACCAAAAAACAGGTTACATTACATTAGGTAATTACAGGTGGACAGCGTTGTCTATAACTATATCGGAGTAAGAAATCATTTACCAACAAAGCTAAAATATAGAACAAAATTTCAAATATTACAAAGTTGAAGGTAACAACCCGACCTCTTTTTCTATTTTAAATAAAATAAATACATTAGAACTAACGAATTCTATATACGGAGTTAGTAATGTAACGAACCTCTGCCCTGAAAGCAAAGTGGGGTACGATAGACACATTGTAGTTATTGTCATCTAAAGACTCGAAATGTTACCGAGTTTGTAAAAACATAGTTAAGAAGACTTTTGAAAACTCTTTAGATTACTGTTACCTTTGTTAGATAACGAAGTTAATAAAGAAGAATCCCACTACTAGCGGTTTGAATTTTCTTCGGTCGAAATTTCGTATTACATGACAAGTATCGGTTTTATTTAGCTTAATCAAGAGCATAGAAAATCCAAAAAAAGGTTTCTGTATAAAAATATTTTGATTTGTCTTTATAACAGTAGGTAAATATTTTAAGGTAAGTAAAGCGAAATGTTTTATTAATTTTAAGCGTAGAATAAGATCTAAAGAAGTATTTACGACATTATATAAATATAACCTATAATAATTTGAATAATTCACTCAAGAAGCTTAACAACACCATGTAAAAATCTGTAACAAAATTACTATCAATAATCGAATAAGGTATCCATTAAAACGTATCAGCACCACTGCACGTGATCTCGAGGAGGTCAGATGCGTTGATAAACACGTGCACGTTATCATTCGGACGCATCTTGAGCCCTCACAACACACGCACGAGCGAACCGCAGGCATCTTGTAAAAAATGATAAGTAAGAAATTATTTCCTGATTGAATATGCAAGGTTTTAATGTAAGAAAACATTGCTATTATAAGCAATGAGCATATACATACATATTTTTATTCTAGCCAATAAATTTCACTTTTATTTTGCAACAACCTTACAGGTTCCAAATTCCAATATTATTTATTTTTAAATAAAACTATCTTTTCGGATTTTTTCGCGGATTTATTTGGATTTTTTGTTTCCGACGTTTCGAATGTTTTACAGCATTCATGGTCACGGGAGAGACCAAGGTATTATATGTCTCGAAGGTATAGTTGTTACAGACAGCCTACCCACAAATAACAAAATGAAAATTGTACCAATTACCTTACAATATTTTTTAACTTTAAACATTTATATAATTTTAATTAGTTTTATAATTATTTATTTAATTTTTGCTGTTATTATTATAATTATTACAATATAAGTTTTAATCAAAATGACAGCATATCAGATTAATATTTATATGTAAATCTAACACCTCAGTCTCTTCCGTGACCATGAATGCTGTAAAGCATTCGAAACGTCGGGAAGCAAAAATAAAAATAAAATCGCGAAAAAATCCGAAAAGATAGTTTTATTTAAAATGTGAAATATGCGCGTAAATCCAAGAAAGTATTATTTATCTTTATATTAGAAAACATTTTGCAAAGTCCCTATGTTGTATGTCAGCCTTTTTTAACGTCCCACTGCTGGGCGCGGGCCTCGCTTCATTACGAGGGGTATCAGGCCATAGTTCACCACGCTGGCCAAGAGCGGGTTGGCGGACTTCACATGTCTTTTGAAAACTTGCTAGATTCTCTCAGACATGCAGGTTTCCTCGCGATGTTTTCCTTCACCGTTAAGACAAGTGGTAATCATGTTGGAAATGATTCGCACATGAAAATATCAGAGGTGCGAGACCCGAGATTTGAACTCGCTTCACTCGGTTTCCTAAGCAAGCGCGTTACCACTGGGCTACCATTGCCTTTAGTCCGTATATATTCATTTTATAAGTAGTAAAACAGATTCAACGTAAAAAGGAAGAAACTTCGTTGGATCAGCAAAACGTATAAGATAAACGGCTACTGTCCGAAGGAATAAGTCATGTGCAAATTCAAGGAGAAGATAAAACAACCGGAACTACATTGTTTGCTACAATATTCTAGAAATTTTCTACGTCGGTTAAATTCAATGGACTGACGTAAAGTACGGTGACAGTAATTAGTAATGAACTCTTGACGCAAACATATAAAGTACATACTAATTCTGCACACGACTTAATATGTAGGTAAATACTCAGAAATTCATATATTTAAAATGAAATGTCATGTTAGGTATAACGTTGTGTAAAGGTTCAATCTTGCTTACCGTAACATAAGGAGCTAAGTAAACATAAGTAGTAATACTTTCTTAGATTACGCGAATATTTGACACTTTAAAGTTGTTTTTTTTTTATGATTTTGATATGGACGAATATGTTTATGTAGTTTACAGTGCAAAAAGACTTGTTTCGATTTAAAACTTAAAGGATGAGTTCGAATACCAAAAAATACCATTGTGAGGGCTCGGAAGAAACGCCAGCGGAGCGAATCGGACAGAGTCCTAAGGAGGGCGCCTGTGGACTCCCCTTTACGCACCATCCCGGCTTCACGCACGGCTGATAGGTCACTGGACTTCACACAACACAACTCCACACTGTAAACTCGATATACGCGTCCACTTACACTCGCGTAGTCCAAACAAATATAAATGTGAGATTTACAAGTGATGTAGCAACCGTAATAATCGGCCGCGTGGAAGAGACTGGCACGTTATCGCTACGACACCTATAAAGCAAAGACTAAAGACGTATAGCAGATCAATTTGTGAATGGACATGGCCTCGTTGTTTTGGTCAACTGACGCGGGACCCAAATGCCTCTGGCGTCGGGAGTACTTTACACGTCAAGAGCTAGGAATTTGGAACTAGAAATATCTTTCATGACTCGTCTAACTAAAAACAAAACATCTGTCGTTGTTTTTTCTTTAATTGATTCACATCCAGCCAGATATATTTTTTTTTTCGTTATCTTCAAGTACTGTTGATGAAATATTAAAAAAATATTTAATAGGAAATAAAAGCATTCAAATTCTATTTTTACACCCGTGAGTAAATAACCCGTTGTCCTTCACGATGTAAAGTACATTATCAGTTAATCTCGTAAAAAGATGATATAGGATGAAAATCATACCCAAGAGCAATATCTATACATATAAAAAAATAGTAACTAAGCCGAATCTGTACATTAAATATTTTTTGGAAAATCTCATTGAAATAAACATTACTATCGTTAATAAACATTACATATATACAGAGGCCGAATCTATAGTTTTTAGAATTTTTGTCTGTCTGACCGCATCACAGAAAAATCACTGGAGGGATTTTGATGAAATTTGGTATGGTGATAGCTGGTTATCCGGGTCAACACATAGGATACTTTTTACCGCGGGAAAATGTCTCATTTCTGAGAAAAAATACAAAAACTGCAATGTAAGAGTATACTTATATGTAAAACCTAAGAATTTGGTTTTTGGTCATCTGAACGCGGGCGGAGCCGCGGGAAATGCTAGTATATTATATAGAGGAAATAAATAACTAAGAAATTAATTGTGAAATGTCATAAGCAAATAAATCAGTTATTAATTTTGGTGCATATCAATGTTTAAAATTATATCTTGTAATTGTAAAAAGTACCTACTTGAGAAAGAGAACATATCATTAAAAATAACACAAAAAAAGTCCGAGCAGATATGAAATAAACAATAGTGTCTAATAAAAATCGGCATCTGTCCACTTATTGTTTAAATGTTTATAATTAGCCGGCGCCAGGCCGGTGGCAGGAGTCCAGGTCGATCACTCGGCTAACGGACCCACACTATATCGGGTGCGGTCGTTGACAGGGAGATTTTTCCGGAATCGGTAAACGATCTGCATTTCTTGTAAACAATATTTACCAAAGCAGTAAAATGGCAATCCCAAAAAATAATGAAATTATACAGACTACTTACGTTTTACCGTTTAGTATAGATTTCCCAGAAATGAAATATTTTCTCGCAATAAAAAGTATCCTATATGTTGACCCGGATAACCAGCTATTATCAAACCAAATTTCATCAAAATCCGTCCATTGGTTTTTCCGTGATGCGGTAACAGACAGACAGACAGACAAACAAAAATTCTAAAAACTACACATTCGGCCTCTGTATCGATAATAATGTCTATTTCAATAAGATTTCCTAAAAAATATTTACTGTATAGATTCGCCTCAGAATTTTATTATATGTATAGATATGATGAAATAAATATTCAATGTCATTCAAATTTTATGTAAACTTGAATTAAATTGAATATTACATTTGACAGTAACTCCGATAACATTAAAAGTAATAAATTATAATTTGATTATTTTTATTTCAAATGTATACAGTAACTCCAATAAAAATGTTCGCCTATGTTTGTTTATAAATTAAAATTGAGCTTAGTTGCAACTTATAAATCAAAACATATATATTTAATAACAACGAGCGAAAGTATAAAAGCCATAAAAGGGAGTATTTTCGACGAGTAGATATTGTATAGTAAGTACCGTTTTAAGGGAACATTAAAGCTATTACACGAACACCCTTTACTTCCTTGACAGCAATGTCTGGAGCTATTCAAGGAATTCGGAGCTCGGAATCTTTGGTGGGAATAGTTGCACCGACGATTTTAGTTGTTATTTGGAATAATTTACGTATATAATAATACAGTATTACAAATAGATAATAATATTACTTATCAAAAATATTCACTTTTAGAGTGAGCTTACATTTGTGAAATAGTAAATTTTCTGCAAAAAATGATGTAAATTCATTGAAATATAAAACTTTGATTTAAAATTAATATTATTCAAATTATCATTTATTTGTTAACGAAAAACTTAAATCCAGTCGTATAATAATGTCCACGGTTCACAATAAATAGATAGGGGAAATGCAGCGGCAAGCATCCGACCGATCTAGCGTCGCCGATAGAGCACGCAGTTACAGAGAATTTCATTTCAAACGCTTTGGATTAAACGGAATTCAATTTTCATTGCGAGATCGATTAGATACCTCACATGATGTTTTTTAAAACTTTAATATACGTACTTAATGTCGGTTGATATCGATAATAAAGGCTTTTTAGCAGTGAAATTATATAATTATTAGCAAAACCCGCGGCTTCGCTCGCGCTAATACTACAAAAACGAACTCTAAAATGGTAGATTGCAGGTATTTTCATACAAATTTTCATCCCCTGTTTAACCCCGCTATGGGATGAAATTCGAAAAATGCTAAAACAAGCTTTTATTTAATTGTATTGAAAATGAAAAGCATTAACACCAAGTTTCAAGTAATTCTGATCATAAAACAATTTATAACGTGTTTTCCCAAGGGAATAAGATAAAAATTAAAAAGCCTATGTCACTCTCCAGCCCTCTAACTATCTCCACACATTAAATCACGCCAATCCGTCACTCCCTTTTGGCGTGAAAGAAGGACAAACAAACAAAACACACTTTCACATTTATAATATTAGTATAGATATGGATAGTACAACTTTTTGGCTTTTTTTTAAATTGTATGAAATTATATATTTTTTTAAATGTAACTGTAACAATAAGTAAGTATTAAATATTAATCACTTTTTAAATTATATTAATTATATCACATTATGCTATTTTAGAAAACATCTTGTTTCATTATGTTCGCATACGATTCGATATAAAGAAAATAAATGTAATTTTCGCAGATATATAATTTGTTATCACGTGTAAACTCGTCTTTTTCGGAAATAAAGGGAAGACACTATCTACGCACTGAATTTGTGTCAGACACATGTTATTATTAAAGGCTCGATTACTCTATCATTGATTATTGCACCTTATTTTATTTTAGTGGCATAATATATTTATCGTTATATAAGTACGGTTAACATTAAGTATAGAAAATATTCATATAGTGCAGATCAGTATAGTATAGGTTAATTTTAATACATTGATAATATAAAAAAACATGGCCTCGCGAAATACATAGTATGTGTCGTGCCTAAACGGTGATCCTTCGTATCGGTTCCGTGCTTTAGTCATTAAATTGCCACTAGCAATACAAGTTGGCAGCTTTCTATGCAAAGGATAATTTCTAATGTTTCCTTTGCTCTCTTATGGACCGAGCATCGTTAACTAAGAATATAACCAGAAAGATAAGTAATTAACTCCAAAAGCCATAGACCAAATAAAAATATGAGAAACGAAATTAATGATAGAAATGAATTTGAAATTTAATTTCCTACGTTAACGTATATAAATTATATACAAATGGATACTGCAGCGCGATGTTAAAATCTAAACAAAACAAAAAAAAGTGCCAATTGGAAACTTCTTTCTGTAAAAGTTAATATACTGTAATTAAGATAATCTGTTAGTCGTACAATATGACAAATTACAAATAACAAATAAGTAATAATTATAAGTATAGTGATAAAGTCAAAAATTATAATTGTTTAGACTTCGGCGATGTCTGAATCTATCGTTGTTCGAATTATACGGATGCAACGCGAAATCGAGCCACGATTCGGATAGCCGGCGGGCGATACACGTGACAGCAACGAGATACCGATCACAGTTTTAATAGAGTTCTTCGATGCACCCAATTACGGCCCCTGCCTGAGCCAGTTACGTTCACCAACAATCGTGATACGATTTATATCCTAAAGGTACGCTAAAAATACATAAAGATTCCTGGATCTCATATCACTACTATAATACGCTACAAAAATCCCTAAAGATCACTAAAATAATTATATACCGAATTATAACATACGATCTCAATAGTTAAACTAGATCTTAAGAACTTATAAGTGACGTTAAATAGCGAGAACTAGCCTATGTCCGAGAAGCAGTTATTGACAGAGTATTTATGGCCGATGATACGATGACACTATCAGTCAATAAACCCTCGCTTCGAGCACAATTCAAGCTGTTATCCAGTGAATTAGTCTCAGGCTGTCCTATAAACATAAATTAACTTTGCCATATATACGCAGATCTATAAAAATGAAGGTAAAAGAGGTACTAAGAATTTATCAAATATTATCGCTATCAATACTATTATATAGTCTTAATTAATTTAAGACTTTAAAGAAACAAGATTAAAAAACACAAGGTTTCAATTTGAGCGTAAGCTCTTTTCAAATTCAAACAGCTGTGTAATATTTTCAACATAAGTTTATTTTTCAATTATCCTAATAATTTAAAAAATGTACTGGTTGTTCGTTATTAACTTTCATTTATAAAATATTATTCAAGTAAACCTTTCGAAAAGCAGCAGGTACGTCCTACTCAACGCGAAGTGTCTGAAGGAAGCTCTTTCACATAACGGGTGGTGCTAATGATTTCCTTGGATGTGTCATGAATAAATTCAATAACCAACACTAGCAGCTGGTGTGTTGATGACGAGAGGAAAATAAATACTCGTAGCAATGGCGCGAATTAATGAGAGCGCCTTGTTGCCACTCGCCATGTCAGGTCACATGTGTGTACTCGCGCTTTTTTGGCATTCGTTTAATTAACATTTTTCTA